CATACGTGGTGGACAAAACCAAAGAAGAGATAGGCATCAATGATGTGAGAGTAGTGTGCAAGTATCCGGATGTCTTTCCAAAGGACTTGCCGGGACTTCCACCCGATAGGGAGATTGAGTTCGTGATCGAGGTTGAACCTGGCACCAAACCAATCTCTATACCGCCATACAGAATGGCACCCGCTGAACTTAACGAATTGAAAACCTAATTGCAAGAGCTATTGGATAACGGTTTCATAAGGCCGAGTCACTCTCCGTGGGGAGCACCGGTCCTTTTCGTGAAAAAGAAAGATGGAACACTTTGAATGTGCATTGACTATCGTCAACTGAACAAGGTCACAATGAAGAATATGTATCCCTTGCCTAGGATTGATGACTTGTTTGATCAGCTCCGAGGAGCGACGGTGTTTTCCAAGATTGACTTGAGGTCGGGGTACCACCAACTGAAGATAAAGGAGGATGACATACTGCAGAGTGCATTCCGCACAAGGTATGGTCATTTCGAGTTCCTAGTTATGTCGTTCGGGCTAACCAACGCCCCGGCGGCATTTATGGACTTGATGAACCGAGTATTTCATAAATACTTGGACCGGTTTGTGATTGTGTTCATAGATGATATCTTGATTTACTCAAAGAGTGAAGAAGAGCATGAGGAGCATTTGATACTTGTTCTTGAGACACTACGGGAGAAGCAACTCTATGCCAAGTTTTCCAAATGTGAATTTTGGCTCAGGGAGATTGGCTTTCTCGGGCATGTGGTTTCAGGATCAGGGATTGCCGTAGATAACAAGAAGATTGAGGCCATTACTGAATGCGAAAGGCCAAAGAACGTCAAGGAAATTCGTAGCTTCCTTAGATTGGCAGGGTACTACCGAAAATTTGTGGAGAAGTTCTCAGTCTTGGCATCGCCATTGACAAACCTCACTCGAAAAGGGGCCAAGTTTGTATGGGATGATCGATGTGAGAAGGGATTCCTTGAACTGAAGAAGAGATTGACCGAGGCACCGATACTTCCATTACCCCGACACGATATGGGGTACGATGTCTATAGTGACGCGAGCATCCAAGGGCTTGGATGTGTCTTGATGCAGAATGGGAGGGTGATTGCCTATGCTTCGCGACAGTTGAAGAAGCATGAGGTAAATTATCCTACTCATGACTTAGAGCTGGGGGCAGTGGTATTTGCATTGAAGATTTAGAGACATTATCTCTACGGGGAAACATGTCATATATACACTGACCACAAAAGCCTGAAATACGTGTTTACTCAGAAAGAGTTAAACATGAGACAGAGACGGTGGATGGAATTGATAAAAGACTACCATCTAGTTATCGAGTACCACCCCGGTAAAGCCAACGTGGTAGCGGATGCCCTGAGCCGAAAGAATTCGTCTGGGGCATTGTTGACTAGTTTAAGGGCATTGAGAACCCGATTGGAGGTATCTAGCGATGGTGCCTTGTTAGCTAGATTCGAGGTGAGACCTACACTACTTGATGAAATCAAGAAGGGTCAAGAAACTGATGAAGAGCTTATGAAGGTCCGTGAACGCATGCTAGCGGGACCGGTTGAGGATTTCAGGGAAAGAGACGATGGTCTCTTATTATTTCATGACCGAGTGTGCGTACCGTCGGATGATGGGCTCCGAAAGTCCATCTTAGAGGAGGCTCATTCATCGGCGTATGCCATGCACCCGGGAGGCACGAAAATGTACCGTGATTTGAAGGAAAGTTACTGGTGGTCTGGTATGAAGAGGGAAATAGCTGAGTACATCAGTAGGTGTCTTACTTGCCAGCAAGTTAAGGCAGAACATCAACATCCAGCTGGGTTATTACAACCACTCTCCATTCCTGAATGGAAGTGGGAACACGTAACTATGGATTTCGTGGTGGGGCTGCCACAGACGGTTAAGAACTATGACGCCGTATGGGTTGTGGTTGATAGGCTCACGAAGAGTGCACACTTTCTACCTATCAACACCACCTATGCACTGGAGAGGTTAGCCAAGTTGTATGTGGACGAGATCGTGGGGCTACATGGGGTTCCGATAACCATTGTGTCTGATAGAGATCCGCGATTCACATCACGATTTTGGCCGAAGTTCCAAGAATCTATGGGGACAAAGTTGAAATTCAGTACAGCTTTTCATCCACAAACGGATGGGCAATCTGAGCGGGTTATTCAGATATTAGAGGATATGCTGAGAGCTTGTGCATTGGAGTTCCAAGGGAGTTGGGACAACCATTTGGCACTTGTGGAGTTTGCCTATAACAACAGTTATCAGGCGAGTATAGGCATGCCTCCATACGAGGCATTGTATGGGAGGAGATGTCGTACACCTTTGTGTTGGGATGAGGTTGGCATGGCCAAACTCGAGAGCACGGAACTAGTGGAGATCACCAAGTCGAAGGTGAAGATGATTTGGGAGAGACTTAAGGCGGCACAGGATAGACAGAAGAGCTATGCCGATAAGCGCCGAAGAGCCTTAGAGTTTAAGGTTGGAGATGAGGTATTTTTGAAAGTTTCACCTTGGAAAGGAATCATCCGATTTCAGAGCCGAGGGAAACTTAACCCACGCTACATAGGGCCATTTGTGGTTCTTGAGAGAATTGGGGCCGTGGCATACCGATTACAGTTGACTCCAGAATTGGAGAAGATACATAACGTATTCCACGTGTCTATGCTTAAGAAGTATATACCGGATCCGTCTCATGTATTGGAGAAACCACCCGTGGAAATACGGGAAGATTTAAATTATGTCGTGCAACCGGTAAGGATACTTGATAGGCAGGTCCAGAAGCCCTTCGATAAGAATAGTGAGTTAATTTCATAAGATTACCTAAGACATGGCCGTGTCACGCAGCTGTCGTCCTGCTAGAAACGAACCAAGAAACGGTAGCTCTGACGAACCATATTCCACTATCTGACGAACCGACTGGTCAATGACGACACATGTCTGATGCATAACCGACCGGATCTGAATCGACCGGTCAACGACGACAAACAGCTGGCCACTTCCCATGCAACGCGGCACCGCCGTTCACCACTCCTCCCTGTCTGTCCAGCTCGCAGTTCTTGGACAGAGAGCCGGCCTGAATCGTTCCGATGGTCGGATAAAGGGCTCTTCAGCCACACAGGGCCGTGTCGCGCAGCTTTAGCCCCGCTGGAAGCGAACCAAGCAGCAGCTCCGATGAAACCTTTTGCACACTCCGGCGACGCACATGGACGAATACCTATGATGTTTCCAAGTGCCCAACAGTCCGGATAAGCCGTCATCTTTCTTCTGACCTACGGTCGCCTCTCTCTCGGTCGCCTCCATTCCCGGCGGCAGCAGATGAAAGGTCTGGTTGACCGGGTTATCTCTATGGTCTAGATGGTCAGCTGGCTGTATGAGAAATATCGGTCAGGGAGTGTTTGGGCCAAGTGAAAAATAGGAGGCTGGACCATATTTGGAAATGTTTCGATGCACTGGATTTCAACAACACTTCAGAAAGTAGCCCAGACAGCACTAATCAACAACATGGCTGTTGATTTTTCACAAATCAGAATGAGCCCAAAGGAATCAGCTCGGTATTATTCTTTTCAGTAAATCCAATTTATTTCAGCCCATCAAAAGACAAGTACTCTTTAATTTTCATATTATTTATATATATTTAAATCATTTCTTTTTGTTGGACGAATGTCAAACTATCACACAATTCTGATCAAATGCCTAGTAGAGTGTGACTTGAGACCCATTACTAGGATTTAAAGCCTTGACCCAGATGAGGCACAAAGCCCTGACCCAGCTCAGGCACAATGCCCCGACCAAGTCGGGCATGAAGACCGGTCTTAGTCATTCCAAGAGTGGCGACCGTTGCGTACGAATGACTCACACATCCACTCTACTAAGTATTTTATCATTACATTAGCAATTCACATTTACACTTTTTTCAAGTGTCGAACTCCCGATTAGAAACATAAACCCCAAGGAAAAAATTTATATGCATGTTAAATGTGTATGTACAAATATGACTTTACTCATTTTCACCTCGTCTCCACTCGCCTCAAGGAGTGGAAGACTGGAGGATTGAGGGGTCAGAGTTTCTAGATGAGCAGAAAATATCACGCATGAGCATGAACAAAAGCTGAGTCGGATGAAGAGGAGCTGAGCTAGACAAAAATGATTATGCTGAAGGGAACTTACCTTCCTGGTTTCGTGTTGGGGGCGCTAGGCGTACTCTTTTTCCCTTTATTAGGATTTTTCCCATTGAGTTTTTTCATAGTAAAAGTTTTTAACGAGGCACCTTCCCATCATGGACAAGGGTAGTGGTCCCCCGGCCGAACAAGTAAAAAATAAATATATAATGTGAGTGAATTTTAATAAAATATGGTATATATAAAATAAAAAATTGTGGCTAAAACAATTTCTAAAATTTATTTAATTGAATATTTCAATGCTTATTAATGTGAGTGAATTTTACACGTTCAGTAAATTTAAGATTAGTTAATGAGATCTTAAAAACATTAATTTTAAAATTTTATTATTTTTTCAAACATTTAATTTCCAGCTTAAAGCTATTACAAGTCTATTTGGTAATTAATATTATTAACTTATCAATCATAACAATCATTTTATAATACTTAATGATATAAAATCAAAAGATTTTTCACACTGAATTAAGTTATATATCAACATAAGGGAATTTTAAGTTACTTTTGTATGAATCAATTGAAATTAATATAGAACATTATTGTAGCTATTTTCATAAGATTTTTTCTTTTGCTATTCATAAAAGACATTTTAAATATAATATTTCTGCGAATTAACAAATTAGTGAAGTCGGCCGATTCAACTAATATTTGATTAGTTTTACTAAATTGAACTCATTTAATAGATTTTAATATTACGAAATGGGTACTAAAAATCAATAGTCCATATAAAATCTGCCAAATTAATTGAGTTAAAGTGATTGGCCCAAAATGTTGGATTCGGTACAATTCATCCCATCTATCATCTCTTCCTACTGCTCATCAAAACGGTCGTACGCTATATTGCTATCTCCGTTTCCATTTCCCCTTTCCCCTTTCCCTTTCGGACGCAGTCTCCACCAAGCCGTTCCTCTAATGTCTTAAGTCTATTATTACTAAACAGAATCATTCATTGATAGAGTTTTGAGCTCGAGTCATGGAATTGAAAAGTATAGCTCCCTTCTGCTGTGTTCCTACAGTTTTTGTACTGGCAGTGGTCTTGTTGCTATCGTGCTGCTGTGATCGGGTTCAAAGTGGTGATATTGTTCACCATGATGATGTAGCTCCAAGGAGAGCTGGCTGCGATAACAATTTTGTTCTGGTAAGACTCGAATTTCCCACCCTGTCATGTTTAGTTATTGTATCTGATTTACTTAAAGTTTTAATTTTTTTACTTCATATGATCAGATTTTTACCCCCGAGTTTTAAAAAATATTTGTTTGTTTATTCTGTGTATGTGTGAAGAAAAAAATCTGTGTATGTGTCTGGGTTATCTGCTCCGTGAGTACTCGGTGAGTATTAGTTGAGTACTCGCAACTCGGGTGGTGACCTTGTGGATTATCTACTTGACTCGGTCCTTATAATATTTCTGAGTTACTCACCGAGTACTCGGCTAGTTTATCAGCTAGGGGAAGTTATTAACTAGGCGAGTTACTCGGACAGGCATAAAAAGTTTGTTTTTTGTTAAATCTGAAAAGTTTTAATTAAAGAGCCAAAAGAGGGATATTATGGAATTTATAAATAATGAGTGTTTCTTTTCGAAAGAATGAGTGGGTATTTTAAAAATGGGAAATAAACCTTAAAAAGTCTAGTTTAAAAGCATTTCATACATTTGTTCATTGCAGCCGTGGTTCCTCCTCATCTCTACTCTAGGTAAGTTATTCTCCTCCATGGCTCTATCTTCTTTCTCTTTTCTTCTTCATTAGGACTTTTTTTCATATCTAAAATTTTTAAGAATAATATATTACTCTAATTTTGGATATTTAATTTTTTTAAAATTAATTAATATAGGACCGAGTAGTCACCGAGTAATCCCGAGTACTAGGTCCTACTCGCTACTCGGCCCTTGGCCGAGTTGCTACTGAGTAGCGATTTAACTACTTAGGTATGTGTAAAATATAGTTTATTAAGCCATTATTACTGGCAATCACTGGTTTCCTTTAGCAATCTTCGGATTTTCAAGGAATCTTCAGTTTATAAGTGTTTAAGCTCTCAAAAGAGACATTTTTGGATTGTTGATCTTGCACTGAACTCTAGCTTTTATGATCTTAGATAGCTGATGAGTTTGTTCATTCTTATGGGTTAGTTTATTATGTAGTATTTCTTTCTATGACCATAGATTTATACTTCTTTTTAGTTGAAACTTGAAACACTCTCATTTTCAGGTTTACCAACCCCATACTTTTACTATTAGTATATTTAATTCTCTATCAATACAAATTTTAAAAAAACAGATTTTGAAAATTTATGATTAGAAAAAATTTAAAAATAATTTTAAAAATATTTTTTTTTCATAGATTAATAAATAAAGTGTAGTCAAAGTAGATCATGTGAATAGTGTAAAATTCTACATGTTGCAATTATTTAAGAATGGAGCGAGTACAAATTTGGAAAGCACAATCCAAATAAAGAAAATAGAGACGATTCACAAAAAAGTGCTCTGTAAATATGTGAGAATTAAATTAGATATAGCCCGGTAGCCCCTATTTACATGCTTAAAGGTAATCTGTCCATCAGTGCAGACCTCGAAGCTGTTTTATGTTTCTTGGTATAAAAAGAGGAATATCACTTTAAGCATTATGCTCTTATGACACAGTGTTCACTTTATGCAATTATCCTCTGCTACAATATCAGTTTCAACTCGTGCAGCCTAGCAAGTACCTAACATGATTAGTAACCATCAGGTTCTGAACTTCTAGCTATGGTGTATTCCTAGTGTTATTTTTAGTAATACTCTGTTATACAATGTATGAGCGTTACCGTCAATAAAATTCAATTGTCCATGATTAATATATTGTGAGTATGTGCATATGTTTAACTTTCCCAAATGCCCCTACCAAAAACTAATGTTATTCAATATTTACTCTTAATTAGCATGAAGTTACTGGTTTTATATTATAAAATGTATGTGATTTAGCACACTTTCTAACTTAGAAGTGCACAGCTGATTGAGACTAGATTTCCTATTTATTACAAAGGTGAAAGTTGCAACCTGGATCAATGGTGAAGAGGAGATGGAGTTTGTAGGAGTTGGTGCTAGATTTGGCCCAACCCTGGAGTCAAAAGAGAAGCGTGCCAACCAAATAAGACTTGCTATTGCTGACCCACCTGATCTATGTAGCAAACCGAAGAATAAGGTTTTTAGTTTTCTTTATTTACATGTCATAATCAGGTTACATGTTTTTGCCCTTTTCATAATTGGACAACAGAAAACCAGAAGTAGCATCTTTTACAGCAAGTGCTCAGCATTATATTATGTTTCATGGCAGCTTACTGGCAAGGCCATACTAGTGCATCGTGGCAATTGCAGTTTCACTACCAAAGCTAATGTTGCAGATGATGCTCATGCTTCAGCTATCCTCATTATAAACAACCAAACAGGTTTTCGTGTTACTCGCAAAATGTTTCGCTTGGTCATATAGTAGACTTAAGAGTATATTTATTAATTTGACTGGAATTCCTTCTGTTTCTTTTAGTACTTATTGCTGTTACCTTAACACTCTCGTTTTGTGTTTCAAATGGCGTATTTGAGTTTGAACCGTACAAGGATCTATCATGCAATGAATAGCTTCTAGTAGCCTTCTACTAATCGGCTTTTCTGACAAATCAATTTCGTATTTTTTATCTTTGCATTGCAGAGCTCTTCAAGATGGTCTGTCAAGGAAATGAAACTGATTTGGTTATTCGCATACCTGCTATCATGCTCCCACAAGATGCTGGCAAAAGCTTGATAGACAATATCATGAACAAGTCAGAGGGTAAGCTTCCTAGAATTGAAATAAAAAAATCTGTTTGCATATCTTTAGTTACTTAACTGTTCATAATGTTTTCATATTCATGGATATGGGTTTCAAGCTCTATTTTAAAACTTTGTTATGCTTCACCATAACTTCTATTCTCTTCAGTTTCTGTGCAGCTGTATTCCCCAAGGCGTCCAGTGGTCGATGTAGCTGAAGTATTTCTGTGGCTTATGGCTGTTACAACCATTTTATTTGCATCATATTGGTCAGCATGGTCTGCCAGAGAAGCAGCAATTCAGCAGGATAAGCTACTGAAAGTAAATTCATGGCCATCATAAAGGCCTTTTATAATCTTAGTGGATAGTGTGCATTTTCCTGTTCATGCTTCAGGGTGGTTGGACCTTTTTTTGCTTAAATGCTAGATTTCTATTTGTTACAGGATGGCTCGGATGAATACAGTGGCATGGATGCCACACAATCTAGTGGTGTGGTAGACATCAACACAATGTCAGCAATTCTCTTTGTTGTCATGGCTTCTTGTTTCCTGATCATGCTTTACAAACTAATGTCAGTCTGGTTCCTGGAAATTCTCGTGGTTTTATTCTGCATTGGTGGTGTAGAGGTAATCTATCTAAATATTAAAAGAAACCTGAACATATTTGTTTGGTAAATAGCATTCATAAAATTTCAAAGATAGACTAAACTACTTGATTGGGCAGGTTTAGTTTAGGTCCCTTGGAGTTAGGAACTTGCTAGAATGTTCCATTCAAAATGTTCATTACTAAGTTATACTCCCTCCGTCCCTATATTATCTTCAAACTTTCCTTTTTCGTCCGTCCCAAAATTATCTCATCTTTCCCTTTTTGGAAAAGAATTTGTGGATCACAACCATTCTTACACATTCTTACACATTTCTCTCTCCTCTGCACAACTCTCCACCACACAATTCCCACTATCTTAATTTGTGTGCCCAGTCAAAGGAGGAGTTTTTATAGGGACGGAGAGAGTATCATTTTTTACAGCGAGTACTTAACGATGTGCCTCTCTTTCTACTTGCAGGGTCTGCAGACCTGTTTGGTTGCCTTGTTATCCTGGTATGCTATTTTTGTGCTTGGAATCTTCTTTAGAATCTATTGTAACTATTATGCTCAGATATTTTGTCAAGCAACACAAGGCTACAGAAATGGATGACATGGAAGTGCTCCAAAATCTATCTGGGAAGGGAAAATCTGTTATATGGGATTATGGGGCATTATGGATGTTTTTCTGAATTGACAATTTGAATTCGGAGAAATGGCTAACTATTGCTGAATATAGTTGCAGATGGTTTGAACATGCTGCAGAGACTTTTATTAAAGTACCTTTACTTGGGGCCGTATCATATCTCACTCTTGTTGTTTCTCCATTCTGCATAGCATTTGCTGTCATGTGGGCCGTTTTTAGACGTGTCTCCTTTGCCTGGATAGGTCAAGATATACTTGTAAGGTTTCATATTTGTTGAAAATTTGGTCAATTTCTTTGAACTACCTAGGTTATTTTTTATGGATGTAACGATGTATGTTAGATGTCTAGCACATAAAGATCACGCCTTCTGAATTTTGTGGTAATGTAATAATGTGACTAGCCAGTTTGTCTGTTGAGATTTTGGCAGTAAACCATTTAGCATCCAATATCAGTTTGAGATAATTACAAAAAGTTGAGTTAATGTCACCAAACACTAGTAGCCCTGTAAATGATAATGTATTAATGTTATCAAGAAGAATGTTCTCTTTTATGTATTAATGATCAAGTTAGAAATATATTCATTCATTTTCATTTACCCCAGTGCCGCAAAGGCTCCCACCTACGGTGGGGTAAGGGGGGGTCGGATTACGCAGTCTTACCCCTGTACTAAAGCACAGAGAGACTGTTTCCGGATGACCCATAGTGAAAATCGTGTCCAAAATTGCATGGACTGACTGCTGCTCCATAACAAAGAAGCGTAGACAGTTTAGTGAGCCATTTTGCTTTATTCCATCATAATCTCAAGCCAAAAAAATGAATCTTTGGCTCCATTGCAAATGATGGAACGAAGTTAGAAATATATTAATGGATAAAAAGCTTCCAACTTTTCACTTCCTGAAATTTGAAGATGGAATTAGATCAAGACTACTGAAACTTATACATAATCAAAGATACTAATGACATAGATAAAAACAAGCTGGGTAATATTTATGTTGCCTAGTTGTTTTCATGCTTAATGCTTATATGGAAATTGAGGATGATCTCTCTTGATGTTACCTGTTATCAGGGTATTGCATTGATTATCACAGTTCTCCAGATTGTTCGAGTTCCCAATCTCAAGGTAAAAAAGCATGCACCCAATTTTTCTGCTTTTATTCTTTTCATAAAGCAAGTAGGATTATCAGAACAAATTTGATGTTTTGATATAGGAATTAGATTGCAATATAATACATAAGACTATAGGAGAACAATCTTACATTTACACATGTGCTGGTAAAGAAATAATCAACCTATGGGCCTAAATAAATAGGATTAAGAATTCATAGAGTTCTAATTCCTATACATCAATGCTCTGATGCATTATTTAGAAAGACCTGTAAGTGCCTTGGCGTTATGGAAAATGTAATTCCTTTATGGCGAAATTCACAAAAATAATCTCTACTTTTAGGGATTCTACAATAATAATAATCCCTATTGAGAGTATTCATAAAAATAATCCGAACTAGCAATAGTATCCACAAGAATAAATCGAGGTAAATTAAAATTATTTCCCATTTAATTCTCCCAAATCTTACCTCTACTATCCTAGAAAGAACCACATATGGCGGAAATGACATTAAGATTAAACGGGTTTTAGTTTTAATTCACTTCGATAAGAAGAGCTGTGAAGAGAAAAGTGAGAGTAGGGATTGATAGTATTAAATGGGCATTAATTTGAATTCACCCCAATTTATTCTTGTGGACACTATTGCTAGTTCGGATTATTTTATAGACACTCTCAGTAGGGATTATTATTGTAGAATCCCTACAAGTAGGGATTATTCTTATGAATTTCGCCTTCCTTTATTTACTACTTTATTGCTTTTCTTCATTATGTTGATTTATTGCTTTCCTTCCGTAGGTTGGTTTACAAGTTTATTGCTTTCGTTCATTAGATTATACCGCTTCCGTCCCATTTTCCTTTTTAGGTTGTCCCAAAATAAGTGTCATATTTCCCTTTTTGTAAATAATTATGTGGTCCACAACATCTCACTTTATTGTACTCAAATCTCTGCCACACGTTTTACTTTTCAGCCACTTTATTAATAATTGTGTCAAACCAAAACAAGACACATAAAATGGGATGGAGGTAGTATTTTTTAAGAATCGATTTCATGCAATCCTCCCTTTCGTTACTGGTGCTTGTAATCCTTAGTCCTTACTATAAGTAGGAAGTCTTGCTTTGAATAATAAACAAGCCATTATTGAATACAAACAAGGGGAGATGAACTCCATAAAAGTAAATAAACTGATCATTTCAACATTTATTTAATAAACTGTATTTACCTGTACATTTAAGTCATTGGTAGACAGTTAGTTTCTTATGGCGTCATGGCGATTGTTGCAATTTCATCAGATGAGCTGGCAGAAGTTTTGTTGAGTGAGAATGATAAGTGTTGTTCCCTTGACTGGAATTGATCCACATGTGATCATCTGATGTAACTACTTTTATTTGGCATGATCAGGTTGGAACAGTGCTTCTTGGTTGTGCTTTCTTGTATGACCTTTTCTGGGTCTTTGTTTCAAAATGGTGGTTTCATGAAAGCGTGATGATAGTGGTGCGTCTTTTTCTAATTTGTGCAATTTGAAACAATATATTGAGATTCATTATAAACTACTACCCATGTTTCCTGAGATGTATAACTCTCCAATCCTATTCAACCTTGCAGGTTGCTCGGGGTGATAAAAGTGGAGAAGATGGAATACCCATGCTGCTGAAAATCCCACGGATGTTTGACCCTTGGGGTGGCTATAGTGTCATTGGTTTTGGTGACATTATCATACCGGGTTTACTAGTAGTATTTTCACTAAGGTTTGCGCATATTATACCCTTCATGTTAATCATTAAATATTCAAGTAAATGTTGTTTTTGAACCATGAAACAGTCTTTGTGCTTTAGTACATGGGTAAGAAGGCGTGCATCCGATCCCCCTTACCCATCATAGGCGGCACATGGGTAATGTTGTTGTTGTATCGGTTTTTGTGTGGTACAATTTGCTAAAGAGTAACAATAACAACATCCAAGCCATCGTCTCAAAATAGTTTGGGGTCAGCAACATGAATTGACATATGAAGTGGAGTTAAAAAAGAAAAAGAGATAAGATATGATAAAAAATACCCCCCCGTCCTGCTAAGATTGTCCCATTTTACATTTTTGGTCCGTCCCACTAAGATTGTCTCATACCAAATTTGGTAAATTTTGTGTGGCTCAGAATGATTCTTACTTCATTCTTACTTTATCAATTTAATATCAACCACATACACCACTTTTTATTAGTTTGCGTGCCACTCCCTCTTGTCCCATTGTTAGTGGGACAGAGGGAGTATAAAAAATATAAAAAGATAAGATAAAGATAAAAAATACAAGATAAAGACTCACTATTTTTGGCTTGAGAATATCATGGAATAAAGCAAAATGACTCACTAGTCATCTTTGTTATGACATCACAATCACTCCATTCAATTTTCGACGTGATTTTCATCACGGGTCATCCGAAATCAGCCTCTTCGTGCTTTAGTACAGGGGTAAGGTTGCGTACATCCGACCCCCTTACCCCATCATAGGTGGGAGCCTTTGCGGCACCGGGGTATGTTGTCGTTATTGTAATGATAAAAAAGATAAGATAAAAATTATAAAAATATAAGATAAAGAAGATAAAGAACATAAGAAAGATAAAAAAGATGAAATGAGATCAATCGCCCACACGAATATTCTCTCTCCCCTTCATTTTCTCCAAAGTCATATTCACCTCTAACCTAAGAAATCATATCATTCTTGACTCTTCTAATCCACACCTTTGTTCAGGTTTTTCTCTCCTTCTTGCCTCCCTTCTCACCTCTCAATTCGTCTAACAGATGCACCACTTGGTTTTCTACCCACATGGCCAAATCACCGCAAATAAAATTTTCACATCTTATCTTCAATAGGTGTTGCTACCACCTTTTTTATTGTCTTCTTTCTCAAGCGGTCTTTTCTAATATATCCACACATTCAAGGCAACATACGCATCGCATCGGAGCCACACTCATATTTTGAATATGACATTGTTTCATTGTTCAACGCTCTACGTCATATAGTAATGCAAGCCTAATTGTTGTCCAATAAAAGTTACCCTTCAATTAACATACCTCAATCACATAGAAATCCTGACACACTCTTCCATTTGATCCACTATGTTCTAATTTTATGTAATACATTTCCATCCAGTTCACCGTCCTTCTAATTATAGAGCCTGGGTAACAAAACATATCATTGACCAATATCTTTTTACCACTTAAGGTAATCCCATTGTTACCATTCCTTTTACCTTCACAAAACTTGCAATCCATATACTCGTTCTTGCTTCGACTCAACCCGAAGTCCTTGATCTCTAAAGTTTGTTGCCATACTTCCAACTTTATTTTAACACTCGATCTTGTCTCATCAATCAACACAATATTGTCGGGCACTCGGCCAACACCATGCACCACAATATATTTTCTTGAATTGACTTTGTGAGTTCATCCATGACTAGCAAATAAGAAATGTGTTAACCACTCGACACATCTCTCTCCATAACTTCTCCGGGCCTCGATTGATATAATATTTGGGCCCATTGTTTTCTTCCGTCCAAATAGAAATCTCGATTTATCATACAATCTGGTAAGATCATCAATATTGTTGCCTTATTTCCATCGAACAATGTACCAAAGTACGACCTCCACCTCTTTTATTTTCTCATCCTCCATCAGTACCCTTTGATCGACATTCTTCACACACTTAACTTTTTTGATAGCTTAAGCCTTACAATCACGAAGACGAGCAAGTCTGTAAAATAGTGTAGATCATCCAGATCCTTGCATTATCTAAAAACTTAAATATGGACTCCTTCAATATGAAAGTAGTGTAAGACTCCGTCGATATCATTTCTTCCTGCATTCTATCACCGTCAATAAAATACACTCAACATGTTTTTACATTTCATTTTATAAAACATCAATTAACTTATTATAAACAGTTTATTCATTGATTTATTTTCCCCAATAAGTATGAAATTAAAAAATGGAGTTTTTTTTTTCATTTTCAGTCCCTCGATTACAAGGTCACTGACACTTTTGGTACTCGACTTTCAATATGTCCGGTTTTAATCCTCGACTATTGTGCGAGAGACACTTTTAGTCCTCGACTTCAATGTTTTCCACATTTAGTCCCCTGAGTATTTTAATATTGACACTTTTAGTTCTTCCACTATGAATTTGACACCATAAGTGAAGAACTAAAAATGTCACTACTATAATAATTGAAGGACCATAAATGTCACTTTTATGAAAGTCGAAGGACTAAATGTGGACATTTTCAAAGACAGGTACCAAAAGTGTTTGTCGCACAATAGTCGAAGGACTAAAAGTGGAAAAACTCAAAGTCGAGTACCAAATGTGTTTGTAACGTAATAGTTGGAGGACTAAAATTGGCAAAAACTCTTAAAAAATGCACATCTAGATGTTAAGAAATAAAAATGTCATTAAATATTTATTTTTTTGACTTTTTTTGGTTCATAAAATATAAATTAGGTTCTAATAAAGTTCAGCGATTTGTGGAGGCATCATGGATTAAATATTTGTGTTTCGTGATTTTTTTAAAACATTATATATACAATACTGGTGTCATATGATCATAAAAGGTTATAAATTTAGATATATGCTTTTGTAAAAATTGGAGTACAAATAAAAAACTTATCATCATCATTACCTTAGTGCCGCAAAGGCTCCCACCTACAGTGGGGTAAGGAAGGGTCGGATGTATGCAACCTTACCCCTCTACTAAAACATAGAGAAATTGTTTCCGCATAACCTATGGTGAAACTCGTGTCGAAAATTGCATGGATTTACAACTGTTTCATAACAAAGAAGCGCAGTTTGGGGGAATAACAAGAGACTTTAACTTTAGTGAGTCATTTTGCTTTATTCCATCATATTCCCAAATAAAAAAAAGGAATATTTGGCTCCATTGCAAATGATGGAATGACAAATAAAGAAGTTATAACACATAAAGTAAGAGTTTTTTCTGGGCCCTTTTTTCGTGACGCATTTCTTCCGTGTTTTAGCCAAGTTGGGGAGTCACCCCCCCTCCAATGTGCTGCAATGTATCCATTTAGAAGTCCAAGATGTCCATTTTTAACATTTTTTTATTTCTAATACCTTACCACTACATATGGCCTTGAAGTTGAATTTTACATTCAACTTTTCATTCAATTTCCCTCGTGCTTCCTTCATTGTTTTCTTAACTTTTCTTTTAGCCTTCTTGTACTCTATGCTCTCATCACTTCAACATTTCCCCAAATTTTTGTAACATTTTCTTTTGTTACTTATGACTTGTTTCACCTTATCATTCCACAAAAAATGTGTCCTTTTTTGTGGCACGTACTTTTTAGATTCTCCAAATATCTTCTTTGTCAATGATCTGCCCCATCGGTAACCACACACCCTTCACATGTGCCACATTATCAATACACCATACATCTTCACTAAACATCTTGTGTGCAAAGTTTTGTTGGAGACCTCCTTGAGCCTCCACCACTTTATCTTTGGCTCCACCGTTTGCATAACTCGCCTTATGTGATATTTATCTCGAAAGTCAATACACCATACATCTTCACTAAACATCTTGTGTTGCTTGTTTTCAAGTATTTCGTACTAAGTAGTCAATTTGGATACTATTAGCTCCACTTCTATAGGCCACAAGGTGAGAGTTTCTTTTTTCTAGAGGTCACAAAGTGTTCATTTTAGTCAACTCATATGTTGAGAAAATCCAAAGATGTTCTTCTCTGCTTCATTTCAAGTGCCACAATTGTGTCCGCAATGAATTCTCTCAAAACCATCACGGGTCCAACGGTCCAACCACATGCCCATTGAGGTCGTCTTTTATGATCAACGTCTCTCCCTTTGGCACTCGTCTTGTTGAGTGATAGGTGACTCCAACCCCACTTGTGGGGCATAGGCACTTACCATAGTCATATTCTCATCCCTCATCACCAATTTATAGCTCATAAAGTTGTTGTTCTTCCTAAGGACTCCCACAACATCCAGAACATAGTCACGCGCCAAAATAATGCAAATTCCATTGGTGGTCTTTTCTCTTTCTCCGAATATCACAACTTAAAACCTCTAAGATTAATTTCTCGTGCTTTCTCTCCAACCCATGTAGTTTCTTGAATTCCATATAATGATGATATTTCTCCTCCACATAATCTTGACCACCTCAGATGATCTTCCTTTATGAGACCCAACGTTCCATGTCCCAAAGCACAATCTAGAACTCCACATTTTATTCTTATTACCACCTCAGCCCCCACCATGCCCTCACATTCTTGAGACCCTCCCAACATTGTTGTGGCAAAGGGATGACACGTCACTTCCGCTGTAGCGATATTTATATTTTGATGAATGTCATGTGATGTAATTAAGTTATACTGCTGGCAATCACACGTCTACACTTGCAACCGACAAGATACCAAAAAATGGTCTTATGTCGGAGTTACAATTCGCTCAAGCGCAGTTTGGAAGTAATTAATTTATTTGGCCAAAACAAAAAATTTCTTTTACAAAGTAAAAGAGTATGAAAACAGTTTAAGAAAAAACCAAGTTTCTGAAAAAGCTCACAAGTTACAACTATTCAATTTCTTAAAAACAGCTAAAACATGTGAAAAAATTATTTTTGGGAAAGCAAACTGTTCCCAAATACGATCAAATTTTGAGAAAAGGCATTGTAGGTTCAAATGCAAGTTCATAGGTTAAATGTTTTAAACATTGTACTCATATGTTATGGTTCTGAGTGACTGCTTCCTGTTACTCTTATGAATTTCAGGTATGACTGGCTATCTAAGAAGAGTCTCCGTACAGGTTACTTTCTATGGGCAATGATGGCTTATGGTTTAGGTAATGATAAATTTGCAACTCAAACATAATATCTTATATTTTCCTCAGAAACATCAGCTTTTATTTGAGTTTTCATGTTACATTTTGACACTTTGAATTTATCTCTGTTAACTAACCCTAATTGTTGTCAACCTCAATACGCTTAGCCCAAAGCTGTACCAGATTACATTATATCTGACTATAGTTTTATCTATAAATACAGGTTCTGTGTATAAAGTTGAATATCATTAAATAGTTCCATATTATATATTTGTATTCACTTGGTGTTTGGGCCATAGAGCCTCACCCTGCTACTTGGTGTTTCTTCCAGTCAGGCAGTCACTTTATCTTTCTTTCTTGTGACTACTCTTTGTTCCTACCTTTTCCTGGGCATTTTCTCGTCAAACCAACACAGGAGAATAGCTCAGGACTGCATTATTTTTTTCATGATCCATTCACCTTTGGGCATTTTTTTCAACAAACCGGTCAGACTATTGTTGTTGTTTTCAGCTGATGATCCAGGAGGTATTTTCTTTATATCGTATGAGATGGCATCTGGTCTCCACTGAAATCTGTGACCAGAAACTCCAGAATATCTAGATCAACCTGGCGTCATCATACCCAACTTTCATTTCAGTCATTTCAAATGAATGACTATGTTGCTGAAGCAGTATGGACATGATATGATTCTGTCAAGTTATGGTTAAAGGTTTAGGATTGCATGATCGGCCTTTAAAAAATCTAGTTTGGCTGGCTTAGTTTTGTGTGCGAAGTAATATTGAGTGAACTTTACATGACTTTTGATTTACTCCTTCGTACTTTCTGGAGACTAATACACTTCTTAGATAGAAAAGTAACAGGCTCTTAGTCAAGTCGGTTTAGACTTTAGACCCTTTCCTGAACTCGGTGCTAATTGAAACCAAGAATAGTAAATGGGGATGCAGAGAATACTATAGTTTAATTTAGGATCATCACTTGGACCATGAGCTTGTAGGCCAATGGGGAATCAGCCCATGCTGTGGAGTGTGGGCAAAAAACCCTGGCCCAGCCTATATGGGCCATGGACTCGTCTAACCCACTATTTGAAGGGGTAGACTTGGACTTATGTACTTGAACACCAGCCCTGATATAGGCCCAGCCCAAGGAGGTTATAATAAAATGCTTAGCCCGAATCTCCAGTGGTTTCTACCTCAAGGGAAAGCTCCTTTTGTTCTAAGCTCTTCAACTTGCACGTTCTTAAACGCGTATCTAATTCTTGTTGAAGTATTAGAGTTTTTCATTGGCACCTTGAGATTCTAGTAGCGCAGTTAATCTTGCAGATTAGCTAGCGGTCATAGTCCAAAAGTTTTCTGTTTAGATATAGGCTCTTAGTTACGACTTATGAGTATAATAATTCAATCCTTACTATTTTACTGTCATGTTCTTAAATCTTCTCAAGAAACAAACTTTGGAGCTTATGGCTTAGGAATGATAAGTTCACAGTTGAAGTTTGGGATCTTCTATTTGCTTTAGAAATACCATAATTCCGTGTAGGGGTGTTAACTAATTGAGCCGAGCCTGAACATCCTCAGCTCAAGCTCGGTGTGATTTGGTGATAGTGGTGTTTGGGTTGGAGCTCGAAGTTCTTTATACATGAGGTTCAGGTTTGGCTCTATAGATTTTCAATGTGCAAATTGTGCGAGAAGTATTTGATTTGTTAATAATCAAATTTAAATGTAGAAAAATACACTAAATACCTTTGAACTTTAACTTATATACAATTCGTCTCTGATTCTCTCTATTATAGCTGAACTGAGCAAGCGTATGCTTGAGTGCGGAATAATTTTTTTGAACATCTAGCCGGTCATATTCTAGATCAAAGCTCGGCTGGTTAGGATATAAATCGAGTTCTAGGAGTTTGAAAAAATACTTGGTCCGTTTGCTTCAATCTGACTTCACATCGTATCATTTGATACACACTGAAATTGTCATGTCTTGAAACTTTTCAACACATCTTATGTTCTTGTGATTGAGTGGATATTTCTCCATGTGTGTGCGTGCCTATTTTATATTTATGTACTTATTTTGTACTTGGCATAGGTTTGCTTGTAACCTATTTGGCTCTCAACTTGATGGATGGACATGGGCAACCTGCATTGCTTTACATAGTTCCTTTCACTTTAGGTATGTACATCACTTTAAGATTGTACGTAGTACTTGAACATCCGTTATATATGGGCCAAATTACCAAGTTGGTAAAACAAAGAGGGCGGTTTACCGCGTAAAAAAAACCTCCAGAGACAAATTGGTAAAAAGACAAAGCTCCGGCGATTTGCAATGGAGCCAAAGATTCATTATTTTTTGGCTTGAGATTATGATGGAATAAAGCAAAATGACTCACTAAACTGTCTGCGCTTCTTTGTTATGAAGCACCAGTCAGTCCATACAATTTTGGACGGGATTTTCACTATGGGTCATCCGGAAACAGTCTCTCTGTGCTTTAGTACAGGGGTAAGACTGCGTACATCCGATCCCCCCTTACCCCACCGTAGGTGGGAGCCTTTGCGGCACTGGGGTAAATGAAAATGAAAATGGATGAGACAAATTGGTAAAAAGACAAAGCTCCGGCGACAAATTGGTCAAATTTCTGTGAGTGAGACATTTTTAGTCTCCTACTATAGCATTCTCGAAATTTAGTCCCTTGAATGTTTTGAAATTGACATTTGTAGTTCTTGTAGTGTGATTTTATCATGAAAAGTGGATGATTAAAAATGTCTACAAGGGTGTTGACAATCACCGGTTGGCTGATAGCGGTTGAATAAGTAGATATTGATACTAACAGATTCTGTTAGCTGTTTTAACCAACCGCTTTGTTAGTGCTTGGTATTTTTAATAATTGTTTAGTAACTTAAATATTTATGATTAACTGTTAAGACGAAAAATGACTATTAAAAATATGAACTTAAAAGTATATATATTTAACTTGACTTTATTTCTTTTATTTTTAAACATCACAATTATCATCGATGATCCCATTATATTCTATATCCATCCAAACTATTTCTCAAAATATACTCGAATTACTTTATTTAAATATTGTCTAAATAACTGTGCAGTTTTCCAATGGGAATCTTTAAACGGGACAAAGGTAGTAGTAAAATTGTTAGTTTTCACAATACTTAGAAGTCTAAATGTAGGAAATTCTAAAGTCGAGGACTAAAATTATCTCACTCACAAAAATTGATCAATTTGTCACTGAAGCTTTATTTTGTTTTACCAATTTGTCTCCAGAGTTTTTTTCTTCCAATTTGGTAAACCACCTTTTTTAAAACCAATTTGGTAATTTGGCCGCTCTATATGCTGCTATAACGTAAATGTCATCACTGGTACTTTTGCAGGAACGTTTTTGACATTAGGAAAGAAAAGAGGTGATCTCAAGCACTTATGGACGAAGGGGGATCCTGACCGGCCTTGTCCCCATGTCCAACTTCAACCCGCAGATTAAGTAAATACCGCAAACAACCAATCTGATCTGATATAGAGTGCATAGATAAGAAGTTTGAGAACCACATGGATACAAGCGTCTTGTAACATGTTCTCCTTCTTGAACTTGGAATGTATAAATGTAAAATGTGGATGTATCTTTCTAAGTAACAAGAACATGTATTAAGATGCACTAGTCAAACTCCAACAATGGCTTGTGCTTGAAAGAATCTCTCTGCTATAAATTATATGGGTCTGCTAAAAACCTTATAAATGCTGAATGGCAAAGTTTGGGTTTCACATTCTAACTTAGATGGCTAGATGGCAGGTAACAATAAAGGATGGTCAGAATCCATGAATGTGCCTGTGGTTGACAGATGATCTACAATCTGTTATTGTTTTTAATGAGAATTCTTCATTTTAGCCTGTGGTTGACAGATGATGTGCCTAAACACCTACCTCTTCAATGGCTATCAGCATTGAAATGCATGAAGACATGAATAATGTTTGAGCTTCTCATAACGGAAATGACAGTACATTTGGTGCTTGTCGATGCAGGGATGAGGGATGGATTCGACCATCCGGGGATATACAATCAAGCTGATGCAGGGATGAGGGATGTATCCGGCCATCCGCGGATGTATACACTATCAAACGGATGAATCCCCTGATAGTGTATACTCTTTTATTTAAAAATTTAAAAATAAAAATGTATTCTCATTACAGATAACAAGACATTTAAAACCACTGTACCTGAAATTTACACTGACAAAAAAATCCGTAGCGTTCTTAACAAGTGTTCTAGAAATCGGCATTGGTGGATTTTAATGATATCTTTAAGTGATATCAAATGAAAAAAATGTGTTTATAAAGTGCTGGCCAGAAAGTTCTCAATTTTAATGATAAAGTAAATCATGTTTTCTTGGTTTAGCCGTTTAGCTACATGAACAAAAAACTTAAATTACATTTTTTCTTCATCTTGCATGCTTGTAGGCCAGAAGATGCATGTATTTGTAATTTTACCACACTATATATTGATATTGAGTATATTACTATCTTGTATTTATACGATACCATTAATGAATGTGTCATGTAAATATATAATACTACGTATATAGTATCTTAATGTTAGAATAAGACATCCAGTTATTGATATAGGAGTTTTCTCATAATGTTATCAAAATAAAATTAATTGAAAAAATATAATTACGAGTTTACTATTCTTACTACGAAAAAACCGTTAAGCTCAAGGCCTCAAGCTAGTGCAAGTGGAAAATTAACATAACCAACACATTCATTGTGAATATATTACTCTAGAACATTACATATCAAAATTAACAAATGCCGATTATTTTTTTAATCATATATTTTGGTTATTATTTCACAATAACTCTAAAATCCGAAATCCATATGCTTCCGATGGATTCATTGTATGAAACGTGTGCATATCATTTCTGTGTGTACATAGTATGATATTAGTTGCATATCGATTTGGAAATTGAGATTATTAAAGTACATAGTCAAATATCCTATACTCCGTAATTTATACTACGAGCCCGTTTGGTAACACTAATATCGGCTGATTCTGCTGAAATTTATGAAGTTCTGACTGAAGTGGCTGCATTGATTGATTCTGTTGATTTATGGAGAAAAAAAATTAAATATATTTTACTAATTAAATGAAGAAAAAATTATATGAAAAAATATTTAAAATGATCATCTACAGTAACTTCAGCCAATACAGCCAGAAAAGTAATTCCAACCTTATTTTTTCTTATTATTACACAATTCAGCGCGTGAAATCAAAATTTACATGTTTGGTTAAAAAGTTGACTGATAAAACTGATAAACTGAAAAACACCAAACGGGCTCTACCTATTAATCAAAATCACTTAAAATTGTGTAAACCATTTCCTTCAATTTAATACTACGGAGTAGTATATTTTAAGACAAGCTTATGACCTGACATTTACCAAAGGTATATGACGTGATCAAGTTCATCATCCCTCGGCCTCAAATATAATTGATCTACAAGATACTCCTTCCGTCCGGCTAACAATGAAACAAGAGGAAGTGACACGCAAATAAATAAAAAACGGTTTATGTGGTTGTTATTGAATTGATAAAGTAAGAATGATATAAAGACACACAAACTGTACCAAATTTGGTATGAGACAATCTTAGTTGAGACGGATCGATAACTTAAAATGGGACAATCGAGACAGAGGTAGTACCATTTAATCCAAAAATTGAAGTGGAATCTGAAATTTGATAAACAAAATTATACGTAATAGAATAAAGAATTATGTCAAACCATGAATATTGAAATGACAAACCTTAAAAAAAAGAGTAAATTACGTGGAGTAATTTGTCATTTACAGTTCAGCAATTAATCGACGACCAAATTTTTTTCAGGTCTCGTGGTTCTTTAATCGACGGAGGCAGGGGCGGTGGGGATTGTAGCGGCAGAGCCATGGTTGGGGTGGGGACCGCCGTGAGAAGAGGTTTCATTGGCCTCCGTCTCCTCCTCTTCCTCTTCATCGTCGTCGGTGTCGTAGGTTGCGAGGTTGACGCACGAGAAGCGCTCCAGCGACGAGAAGAAGGCCGCAGCTACGCTCGATCCGAACCACTGCGCCAGGCCGTCCAGCTTGTCGTAAGGTACTACGCTCGTATTCTCCATATCTTCGAGACGGGAATGTCATTCGGTTGCTATATCAGTGAATATGATTCTTAGAGGGAAATTGATAAATTCTACAGAGAAACCTTCAAGCGGCGAAAATGGCGGGTTAGAGATTTTAATAACTGATTTTTTAATTTGTGATTATTTTCCACGGATAACATTCCTTTCCGTAAATTATACTCCATTTGGTATAATGGACGGTATCATGGACACGGTATATATAACTCGATATTTTGTCTTATACCGGAGTATCAAATTAGTATATACTCGTACTACTTCGTATATACTATCGTAACTAAAATGATATGAGTATTGGTAGTAAATTATACTCCTCAGTCCCATTAGATTTTGTCAACTTTCTCTTTTAGTTTGTTCCAAAAAAAATTACTACTTTCCCATTAAAGTAACTAATTTATGTTTCTGCCCATTTCTTTCTTTTCTGCACAAATTTCAACCACACAATTTTTACTAGTCTTATTTCTCACTTACTTTGCACTTGACAAAGTCCATTGGAACGAAGGTACTAATATAAATTCCAATATCAACTTCAAATATGATTTATAAAGTCAACTTTTATTAGTCAACAGAGTTTTATCTATTAAGAGTCTATTTGGTAACTAATATTTTAAACTTATCAGTCTCATCAATCATTTTATAGTTTATGATTGCACCGAATTATATATATTAATCAACATAAGTAAGTTTTTAGTTACTTTTATAATTGAATGAGTTGAAATTAACGTAAAACATCATTGTAGCTATTTTCATAAGATTTTTTTATCATTAAAAATGCTCTTTTCGCCCCTTTTTAATCAGCCAATTTGACTTCTCAAGTCAATGATATTAAACTTTAACTGGTTATATATTTATGCATAGTAGTATTCATAATATGAAAATGATAAGAAAATTATTTTTTGTTAAAAATATTATCATAAAAGTATAAATTTATTAAATTTCACTCATATATCAAAGTTTATCAAATATAGCTAAATAAAAAGGGATGAAGTAGTATTTTAAATATAATATTTTTAGAAATCAGCAATTTGTTAAGTCAACCGGTTCAACTAAATTTCACCAATTTCAATATATTCAACTCATTTAACCGATTTAAATGTTATTATCAAATGGTACTAAAAAAGTAAAAAACTAAAAATACAATACTCCGCATAAATTCTGTCAAATTGAATGATTTATAGTTATTAGCCCAAATGTTTGATCCGGTCCAATTCATCCGACATCTACCATCTCTGTAGTGCTCATCTCTCAGACAGACGGTCGTACGCTATATTGCTCCGTCCGTTTCCTTTTCGTCTAATGTCCTGAGGTTAGTCGATCATTACTAACTGTTTTCTTATTTTATCTCATCTTGTTTTGTTTGTTCCTACATACTCCGTATCTTATTTTATCTTGTCAGCAGTGAATGGAGATAACTTATTACAACGATTAATTTTTTTTTAATTTTCAGAAGAACTATGCCTAGGGTTTGCATTAGATTGAGGATTTTGGGCAAAAATATGATTTACCCCTATGAGATTTTTGTATTATTCATGTACTTGGTTTTCTTTCCTAAATTTTAAGGGTTTTGTTATGGTTAGGTTTTGGATTATAAAATGCGCAAAAACTACACTATCAAAAGCAGTATTTTTGTATTCTTCATCATTTGAATTAGTCACTTAGTCACAACACATGACAATCTTTTGGGAATAAGGCTTGGTTGTTGCTGTTGTTGTTCATCATTTTGAATTACTACATAGATGATTCAACAGAAAATCAGATTTTAAGCACGCATTTCTTAGCACTTAAAGAATACTGTTGGAGTACGATGTTACTTGTTAATATGTATGGCTAAGTACCCAAACATGACTATGCAATCTCCACATTTTCTAAACTAAAGTGTTTAAGGAAAATTAAGTTTATGGTTTCTATGTGGTAATAATAGTTTAAGATCATGCCTTTTAGTGAGTTAGATGGTTGTGTTCAAGGCAAATTAAGTTTATGGGTAGGTACCCAAACAAGACTATGCAATCTCTTCATATTTTCTAAACTAAAGTCTTTTAGATCATTCATTTTATTGAGCAAGATGGTTGTGTTTTAGGCAAATTAAGTTTATGGGTAGGTACCCATGCAAGACTACGCAATCTCCTCTTTTGGTGAGTTATATGGTTGTATTCAAGGCACTTTAAATATATGGGTAGGTACATAAACAAGACTATGCAACCTCCTCATATTTTCTAGATCAGAATTTTGAATGGTGTAAGGTGGCTTCAGAAAGTAACCGAGGAATATGCATGCACAAGAATGAGAAAAAAAGAAAGCGTTTTCTTGTGCTTTTAACTTCAGAATGTGAGTTTTGAATTGTTTTTCAGAACTGCTCTCATTGATTAAATTGAGTTTATGATGAGTATTATGGTTGTGATTAAATTGGAATTTTATTTATCCAGGGCCTGAAAGATAGATGAATTATTAATCGGAGACTTGTAAGATGAAATGTGTCTATATATGGTTTGAATGATTGGAAACTATCACTCAGAGATTGAAAGTATCATAGGTTGTGATTTAATTTTTTTATTAATTACATTGCTGATTTTTATGAATTTTCTTCACAAAAGTATATTAATTTAATAAAATTAAATAATATTTAAAACTTTTAATTTTTTTTAATAAAGTTCATCTATCTTTCAAGTCCTGAGTTGATAAAACATAATAAAGTTCATCTATTTTCCAAATCCTGAATTGATACAACATCCAAGCCTTAATCGCAAAAGATTTTGGGGTCGACTAACATGAAACAATCCATGATATCGATGCCAAAAAGAGAAGACAAACATAAAGAAGAAAAAGGACAAAACGAATAAGATAACGATAAATAAATATAAGATAACAATTACATAAGAATATAAGAAAGATAAAAGATTAAAAGATAAAAGAGCATAAAAAGCTAGAAGATAAAAATAACGTAAGAACATAAAAAGACAAAGAAGATAAACGATAAAAGAAAACAAAAGGAAAAAAAGGAAAAGAGATCAATCGTCCACGCAAGTGTGCGCCCTCCACTTTGCCCTCTTCAAAGCAATACTCTCATCCGACCAAGATGACGCATATAAGTTCTGATTCCTCTAATCCAAGTCTGTTTGGGTCTTTCCCTCCCTCTCCTCTTTGTCTCTTCTCCCCACCCCTCAAGTCGCCTCACAGGTGCATCACTCAGTCTTCTACGCACACGCCCAAACCATCTCATATCAAGTCCTGAATTGATAAAAATAATTTTTATGAATTGACCATTTAGTTCTTAGATTGATAGTTTTCAACCATTCTAGCCCTATAAAGAAACATTTCATCTTCAGGTCCCATATTATAGTTTGTGTCTAACACGAGTGCTTTGCCAAGTTACAAGGTAAGTTTCCCAAGAAAAGGGGCCAATTTTAGGAGATTTTGTAGCTTATCCGTGACGGGCGTATCCCTTGTAGACACTAGACATGTACAAAACTAAATGCATACCTCTGCATCATTAAATAGACACCCAGAGCTATCTTTAGCAACTATTTAGTAAAACGTTGGGGACCTAAATGGCCGCACCAACCAAAGTTTATTCATAGCCGATTGGTTCACATAGGTTGAAATAGTACATTCATGGTAATAATCTTGAGGGCAAAAAGATCTTTTGTAGTAGTGTTGGCAGTTGATCAATCCGTTAAGAAACTGCCGGATAAGCTGAAAGTTCAAAATATTGCACGACTGGGGCTGTGTTTAAAATCCATATTCTTGATACTCAATTTTGTTAAGTTTTCACTTACAAAATAACAACACGGTTGCTTTGAACCAAGAACGTAGCTAATTGGCAAACGCTTCCATTATAAATTTATTATATAGATATAGATATTGGTGCACAACAACAACATCCAAGCCAATTCTGGAAGAGTTTGGTGTCGGGCTGTCGGCTAACATGAATCAACATATGAAATTAATGTGCAAAATATGTAAAATTTCACATGTTAATTACAAGTCTGTGGTTGCAAATACAGTCTAAAGATGTATAAGACTATAAACATATGATGCATCTCCAATTCTCTATGTCCTTAACATGTGGTTTCATGCACTCTTGTGAATAATAAATTTGCATTTACAAATTTTCAAGTACTGTTTGTTGTAAAAAGGACCTATTGGCATTTCTTATTTATGCAGACTAGTCATGCCTGAACAACGAAAGGGAAATGGTCCTCCTGCCAATGGGAATGCATCTACCGGGAGTGGTTATAAATTTGATTTGGATTCCTTTAGTAGAAGGCTTAGAGCGCTATATGCACATTGGCGTGAACATAGAGATGATCTGTGGGGTTCCTCTGATGTCCTTGCTATAGCAACACCTCCTCCTTCTGAGGACTTGAGGTACTTGAAATCTTCAGCCATGAACATTTGGTTGCTAGGATATGAGTTCCCAGAAACAATTATGATTTTTGGAGAAAAGCAGATCAATTTTTTATGTAGCCAAAAGAAAGCATTCTTGCTTGAAGCTGTTAGAAAAACAGTTCAAGATGTTATAGTGGCTGATATTATTATGCATGTGAAGGCCAAAAGTGAGGATGGGACCACACAAATGGATGCTATTCTCCATTCAATCAGCTCTCAACAGAAGTCCCCTGTAATTGGGTACATTGCAAAAGAGGCACCTGAGGGGAAACTCCTTGAGACATGGGCTGACAAGTTAAAGAACTCGGGACTTCAACTTGGTGATATAACACATGGAATATCTGATATTTTAGCTGTAAAAGACCAGAATGAGATCATGAATGTGAAGAAGGCTGCTTATTTGACTGCTTCAACATTGAAGAACTTTGTGGTTCCAAAGCTTGAGAAGGTTATAGACGAGGAGAAAAAAGTAACTCATTCTTCATTGACGGATGAGACAGAAAAGGCTATGCTTGAACCGGCTAAAGTCAAAGTGAAGCTGAAGTCTGATAATATTGATATATGTTACCCACCCATCTTCCAGAGTGGTGAGAAATTTGATCTCAGACCCAGTGCAGTTAGCGATGATGATACTTTGTACTATGATTCTGCCAGCGTTATCATATGTGCCGTGGGTTCTCGATACAACAGCTACTGCTCAAATGTTGCCAGAACATTCCTCATTGATTCGATTCCAATGCAGAGCAAGGCTTATGAAGTGCTTCTTAAAGCCCATGAGGCAGCAATTGCTGCCTTGAAACAGGGAAACAAGATTAGTGCTGTTTATCAGGCAGCACTTGCTGTGGTTGAGAGAGAAGCTCCTGAACTGGTTAGCAACTTGACAAAAACGGCCGGAACTGGAATTGGACTGGAGTTCCGAGAGTCAGGGTTGCTGCTTAATTCGAGAAATGACAAAGTGCTTAAAGCAGGAATGGTCTTTAATGTCTCTCTGGGTTTTCAGAATGTGGTGGCTAAGACCAGCAAACTCAAGAGGAACTTCTCACTTCTGCTTGCAGACACGGTGATTGTAACCAGCGAAGGCCATGATGTGGTGACCAAACTGATCTCCAAAGCTCTGAAGGAGGTGGCATACTCATTCAATGAGGATGAAGAGGAAGAGAAGCTTAAAGTCAAAGCCGAGTCCATTAGCAAGGAAGCCTTACTTTCAAAGGCAACACTGCGCTCAGACAACCAAGAGATATCCAAGGAAGAGCTGCGGAGGCAGCACCAAGCCGAACTGGCTCGGCAGAAGAATGAAGAAACTGCTCGACGTCTTGCCGGTGATGGTGTTGCCAATGGAGACAACCGATCTGCTGTCCGTGCTTCAAGTGATCTTGTAGCCTATAAGAATGTCAATGATCTACCACCAACTCCTAAAGAAATGATGGTTCAGGTTGACCAGAAGAATGAAGCTCTCCTTCTACCTATATATGGAAGCATGGTTCCATTCCATATCTCTACTGTGAAGACCGTGACCAGTCAGGCTGACACTAGTCGCCACTCTTACATCCGAATCATCTTCAATGTCCCAGGCATGCCTTTTGCATCAAGTGATGTGAATGTGTCTAAGAATCAATCAGCTATTTATTTGAAAGAAGTTTCTTATCGTTCCAAGGACTCTCGTCATATAACTGAATTGAACCAGCAGATTAAAACACTTAGACGCAATGTTATGGCAAGGGAGTCTGAAAGAGCTGAGAGGGCTACTCTAGTCACCCAAGAGAAGCTTGTAGTGGCTGGAAACAAATTCAAGCCAGTCAGGTTACCAGACTTATGGATCCGTCCCTCTTTTGGCGGCCGTGCCAGAAAGCTACCCGGCACTCTGGAAGCTCATATGAATGGATTCCGTTATTCGACCACAAGACAGGATGAGCGTGTTGATATCATGTATGGAAATGTCAAGCATGCTTTTTTCCAGCCAGCAGAGAAAGAAATGATCACACTCCTTCATTTTCATCTCCACAACCACATAATGGTTGGAAACAAGAAAACCAAGGATGTGCAGTTTTATGTGGAGGTGATGGATGTGGTCCAAACCCTTGGTGGCGGAAAGAGGTCCGCATATGACCCGGATGAGATCGAAGAAGAACAAAGGGAGAGGGACCGGAAGAACAAAATCAACATGGATTTCCAGAACTTTGCAAACCGGGTTAACGATATCTGGACCCAACCGCAGTTCAAGGGTCTCGACCTGGAATTCGATCAACCGCTCAGAGAGCTTGGGTTTCATGGTGTTCCCTACAAATCATCAGCCTTCATAGTTCCAACATCAAGCTGTTTGGTTGAGCTTATAGAGGCACCAGTCCTGGTCATCACCCTTGGTGAGATAGAGATTGTCAACTTGGAGAGGGCGGGTTTCGGACAAAAGAATTTTGACATGGCAATTGTTTTCAAGGACTTCAAACGTGATGTGATGCGTATAGATTCAATCCCTATAGCCTCACTCGATGGAATCAAAGAGTGGCTTGACACAACTGACATTAAGTACTACGAGAGCAAGCTTAATCTGAACTGGCGCCCCATTTTGAAAACAATCATTGATGATCCACAAAGGTTCATTGATGAAGGAGGCTGGGAGTTCCTGAACTTGGATGGGAGTGACTCTGAGACTGACAATACAGAGGATTCAGATGGAGAATTTGAGCCTACAGACGACGAACCTGAATCAGAGTCTGAGGCTGAGGAGTCTGATAGCGAATCCCTAGAGTCTGAAGACCATGATGATGATGAAGAAGAGGCGGAAGAGTCAGAGGAAGAGGAAGGGAAAACATGGGAAGAGTTGGAAAAGGAAGCAAGCTATGCAGATAGGGAGAAAGGTGATGAATCAGACAGTGAGGATGAGAGGCGACGGAGGAAGAAGAGTTTTGGTAAGTCAAGGCAAAGCAGTATTGGTAGCCTCCCAAAGCGTCCTAAGTTCAGGTAAGACCTCCCAAAATGTAATGTTATTGCAAGAGCACTTGACGGAAATGTTGTCTAGAGGAGAAGCCTTTGAACATTACCACTGGATTGTTCTTACTGCTACTTCTTTTGTGAAGTCTTCTTTTTTGATTCCTTGTTATCACGTGTCCAATGTTTGGTGGACAGGTAGCACTGTAGCAGGCACTAGTTCGTTGTAGACTTTATGGGCTTATCTATTTTGAAAACTTAACATTTCTGAATGCAACTTAACTTTTTTGTTCTTGTGGATGAGCGTTGAGAAGTGAGAACCAAGACTGAATGTAATATATCATCTATTATAACCGCATTCCAAATGGAAGAAACTCCACTATGAGCTTGTATTAAATTTATACGGTTATAATCCAATTTAGTTTATTTTGATTTAAAATTGAATTTAAAACTTGGCTGGGGTTCGTAACTTGGTGTATAGTTTTTTTAGTTTTAGTTTGTGTGCTTACTCAATCATGGCTAATTTTTTAGCCGACTACCAAAATAAAGTGAAGTGAATGAGTAAGAAGTAAGAACTAAGAAGCTCATTTACCTCGATATTATGGTTACGGATGGAGTATATGGACCAGGGATTCCCGGTCCATAGATTCCTACTACTCTAGCATAGGCCCAGAAAGCACAGGAGGCCCAAAGCACAGCGGCCCAAGTGTCAAGAAAGCCCGCGGTGCACGTACAGGGTGCCTTCGGCCCCATGGCCGAAAGCTCCGAAACTTCACGATATAGCTGGTTTTGAGCATACAAATCTGTTGGGAGAAAACGGTGGAAACCAAGGGCCTTCGGCTCACAGGCGCCTTCGACACGAAGCCCGCCCTCGACTACAGGGGAGTCTTCGGATACAGGGGAGCTTTCGACTACCACGCAATCGTCAAAGATTCCCTTTGAAGGCACGCAACCACCGCATTCAATGTGGCGTCGCATCCACCCACCGCATTCAATGCGGCGCACATGTGAATGCATGTGCCAGTGCCACCCCGATTGAGGTCTTCTTCTCTGTGCCTAGCACCTGCAACTTGACTTTTTCTTCCTTTCTTTCTTCTTTCTTTCTTTCCTCTTTCTCTTATCCTTCCTAGTTCTCTGCTCATTTTGCCCGGCCTCACTTCACCCTACTCGCTGGTGTTTGCTTCCTCCGCCTATTCCTCTTCATTGCTGCCAACTTGGGTCTACAACCAGATTGAAACTACGAAGCAGTCGGGAGGGAGGAGCCAATGGCTTCTGGTACTGATGGCCAAGCCTTTTCAACCTATAAAGGATAAGGAGCCTTCAGCCGAAATCAATGGCGGATCCAGGAAAATAAGGTGTTGGGGGCATATTAATAAAGTATAAGAGATAAAATTTGAACCACGTCACATTTTTATATTGAATCGCATTTTTAACACTAAAATTGGTTGAACGTAGTGAAGTTGATATAATTTTGATTGAAACGACTGAATTGCTTGAATCTGATAAATTATGAATTGAAAAACATGAATTTAAAATATATTTTATAAAAAACACAGATAATATTATATGAAAAATAGCTAAATAAATCTCTTTAGTAAAAAAAGTGACTAACTCATCAAACTCTAAATTTACTTCTTATTATTATTAAACAATTCAAGACATGACTTTTATTTTATTAACCGTTTGAAAAACATATATTTATGTCCAAAGGCAATTAATGTTTTGAGTATCAAATTAATTGAACTAGTATGTAACACATCCAAGGGTAACTATTTCAATACCAAAAATGTAATTTTATATTTTTTGTACTTATTTATTTATAAGAATTTCGAACTACCTAATTTCTATAAAGAACAATCATGGATCCTATATATCTATACACAAGAAATCTCACATAACAAATCAAGTCAAAGTGAAATTCAATTCAAAAATAAAACTTCCCCTACTAGCCCAAAGCAGCACAATGAACCTAAAAACTAGCTATTATATACTTCGTATATCATTTTGTTACATTGTTAAATTCAGAAAACACGAATTAAGATGTCAAAAATATAAGATGCAAAAGAAAAAATACCTCCAACCAATGCACAAGTTGCTAAAAATAACAAAGGGAGTATAAGTTTTGAGTTTAGAGAATAGAAGATAATAAAGTAAATTTCATTGCGGATTCGTTTTGAGTCGTTTTCCCTGTTTATTCTTCCTTCAATCTTTCATTCTTATTAATTAGTTCGAAGGTTTCAATTTTCTGAAATTCATTCTTTGGCTCTTCCCCTTTTGTATTCTTCCCATTTTTTGATATGGGTTATGGGGGTAAAATAATTTTTTAATTGGGAGCAATTGATAAATAGTTATTATTTGGTAGTAGAATCTTTAGTATTAGTAAAGGGTTATTGGGGCAGCTACCCCTCCCATGGGTATAGATCCACGGTAAAATACACGGTACAATAGTCGGTTGTACCGTGCGCACGGTACATCCGAGCTTTTCATGGTTGTTGCGCTTCTTCAACCTGGCCTTCGCACCCCTTTCTACGTTCCAGCTTCGTACAAAGCTTCGTACCAGACTTCTTCGATTTAGCTTGCTTCTTCGATCTGATTTCGCACCAAGCAAACTGTCCCCGACGTTCACCCCCTTCTCCTTCAGCTCGCTGCTGGTCGTCGCCTCTCACCACTCGGCACTCACCTCTTCTCCTCCGGCACAAACGCAGCGGTTCCGGCTCTTGCGTAGTTACCTCTCCTCCTCAGGGTTGCTTTCTTCCCAAACTTTATTCCCCTTAGCGGATTTGAACCGATGACTTACGCCTTACCATGGTGTTACTCTACCACAAAGGGAGCCTACTTAGTTGTTGAGGAATTCTTAGTGCTACTGATCTCAAATGAGTTTTATATTAAACTCAAATGAGTATACACCTAAAAGAAATGAACACACACAAATTAATATTGAGCGCATTGGAAATGAGTTTTATGTTAAACTCAAATGAGTATAATGCCCAAAATGAATGAGCATACACAAATGAGCTTTTGAATTTTTTCATACTCATTTCGTAAGTTATGTATGCTCATTTGGTACTGCTTTATGCTCATTTTAAAATGTTTCACATTTCAAACGTATCATACTACATTATATTCACATATTGAAATTAATTGAAATTGATTGTAAACATAATTTAAGAATTTTTTATAAACGAAATAATAATAAAACGAAACTGAATTAAAAGATATGAAACAAAGATCATCGATGCTCATTGAAACACTCCTAATACTCAAAAGAACAGACTCGATGCTCATCAGAATTGCATAAATGCTCATTTAAGAGAAATCATGATTTTCACTAAAATTACAAAATTGCCACCGGCTTTACGGTGTCAGCCGTACAATCGGCCGTATGATATACGCTTCCGTAGATCCACCCCTGGCCGGAGTTGCTGGAGGATAAGGAACGATCTGGCCTGGTCGCTACTTTCCGGCGAGAGCAGTAACGGCGTCGGAGATTCTCTAAACGGCTCCCGGAGCTGAATATCGGCGGATGAGGCGAATGATAGAAGGCTCTTCTTAAACAGGAAGGGAGCTTGAAATTGGTGGTAACATGGGAGAAGAAAGAGTGTGGAGCAAAGAAGATGGAAGAAGGCCGAAGGGGTAGTTTGCTGGACCGGGGAAGGTGAAAGAGACAAGAAAAAAGTTTTTTTTTTATGGTGAGAAAAGAAAAAAGAGAAAAAAGAAAAGGAATAAAGAAAGGAAAATGAAAAAACAGAAAAAGGAAAACATACGGGGTGTACGTGTACAAACTAACCTGCAACCTGTTCATTACCGGCCAAAAAGAGGATTTGGCATTTTAATTGAGTTCAAGAGTTTGATTGGTCGGATTTTTAGTAGGGGGTCTAATTGATATTTTTGAAAAGTTAAGGGCTTTTTTTGAATAATTTTCCCTAATTTTTTCAAAATAATGTTTTATAAATTTATTGTCTGCAATAAATTCATAACACATATTTATGTAGATATGATTTTTATGATTTTTATCTAATGATTTGATGTATATCTTATCCTGATTTATCTTTTTTTCTTTTTATTATACTTATTTTTTATCTTTCTTTTCCTATTTTTTATATTTTGATTTTGATATATCTTTTTTTTTAAGGCGATCAAAAAAAAAACTTTTGAAATTAAAACTTGAATGTTGTTTTGGTATGTATTGATTCCTAGTGGCAATACAACGTCACAACATGAGCCTATAAATATATCTTTTGCTAACCTAGCCTACCAATAACTTTGTTGATTTTGAACTAAAAGTTTATCCGCACATATGTATCATTAACCTCAAGTTGTATTATCCAATAACAATCCTTTTGATAATCTTAGAAGAATTCCTAGCTCCACCACTAGTTCTAATCCATCTTCTATGTCTGTTTTTTGTAACGGAGTTAATACCTATGTAATTATATGTAGGTATCGACCTGGTCCTGTGCGGGCCAGTTATGGTCACAGACCGGCTAATCTTTGAAAAATATATGAAGGATCGGGACCTCTATTTCTGGTTCCCGACGGTTCCGGTTCTCAACTGATGCTAGTCTGGTGTCGGTCCCGATCCGGTCTCAGTTGTTTTAATACACTTTTAATCCCTCCATCCTCATCTACACATCTTTTAAATTTTTAAGTGGACTATCAACTCTTATGAAATATTTTTCAATGGTTTACATATAAAAAAGACTAACAAAATTAATTGAAACCGGTTTAGTCCCCGTCCCAACCGGTCTTGGTCAAAAGGAGGTCCGGGACCGAGACTCCTTTCCTGCCGATATGATTTCAGTCAATCTTGATTTTCGGTCCCGGTTCAAAATCGGGCGGATGCAGTTCAAAACTGGGTGGTTCCATGCTAGCGAGTCATGGTTCCGATCAGGACTAGGTTCATGCCTAGGTATGCGATGTTCCTTCCTTGTTCCTTTGACTTAGGCTAACTGAACAAAGGTACGAGAGGGCATTTGCTTTTTCCGATCTGGCAGGGTAGTGTTTCACCAACACAGACTTCATTGGGCTATGTTTGGGAGTTTGAGAGGGGAGGGAGGGTATTGCTTTGAAGGTAAGATGTTGGAGGGGAAAGTGAGGAAACCCTTTCTCTTATTTGGGAGTAGTAAATTTGAAAAAGATAATCTTAGAAGATATTATAATTAAAATCACTTCTAAGATATAGTGAATTCAACTAGTTAAACAAATATTTATTTTAAATGAGCTTAAATTATCATTTAGTTAGTTATCATTCGAAACCCTTAATTTTGGAGAAATTTAAAATTTGAGCATTTGAGGGTGTTTTGGAGGAAGACAAAAACCTTCCAAAACATTCTTTCATATTTTTTAAACTCAAATACGAGGGTCATCAACCCTCACATGTCTTTCCCTCTCTCCAAAAAATCAACTCTCAAA